CCACCAGGAGCGACAACCAGACGAGAAGGAGATGGACCTGCTGGCGTAGTGGTTATATCCGACGACGAAAGTTCGCCCAGTTCAATGTCGGATGAGGAGGGCCCAGATACCGACCACGACCACGACGACAAGAAGCGTCATCACCGCGACGGCACCACCCCGGCCGGCGGCAGATATAGACCTCAGACGCCTACGCCGCCGCCGCAGCGACGCTCACAGCAACACGTTCCGCCACCGCCTAGGGGGAGCAGGGAGAGAGACATTCGTTCGGAACGGCATCGCGACTTGCGTGAGCGTGAGCGTGATCGGGATAGGGATAGGGATAGGGATCGCGACAGGGATCGATCTCGGGCCCCGGAACCGAGGCGACGGGGAGGAGGAGGAGGAGGAGGAGGAGGAGGATTGCCACCATCACCGCCACTAGATAGGGACCGGGATCGAGATCGGGACAGGGACAGGGACCGGGATCGCGATAGGGACTACGACAGAGACAGAGACAGCGACAGAAGCCTGCGCGACAGCCCTCCTCTGAGGGATAGCCCTCGCCTACGAGACAGCCCTCGCATAAGGGAAAGAAAGCGGCAGAGCTTCGCGTTAGACGAAAAGTACCACGTCGGAGGAGAAGGAGGCCGCAGCAACGTCAACGGCCACGCCAGGAGACAGCAGAGCGTGCCCCCCAACAGCGCCAACAACGGCGCAAAAAGGCAGAGCATCACGGAGCGGCTCATGAGCACCTGGACAGCGGCGCGGTCAGGCGCGGCGCGCGGAGCGGGGGACCATCCGCCTGGCGTCGGGGCCGCAGCCGCCGCCGCGGCAACCACGCTGCCCTCGCGCCGCGCGTCGTCGGCCTCGACGACGAGTAAGGCGTTCAACCCCGTCGGCAGGGTGCGCGAGTGGCTCGACACGTGCAACGCCGAGCACGGCGACCACTGCTCCGGCCCGCCGGCGGATACGTGGCGGCCGATATGGCTGATTGACTCGGTGAACCGGTGCCTCGTGCGCGCGAGGGCGACGGATCGGTACATCGCGCTCAGCTACGTCTACGAGCCGCCGCTGCCTTCGTCGCGGGGTCCTGTGGAGACATTGCGGGAGAACCTCGAGGTGCTGACGGCGAGCATGGACGACGCGGATATCCCGCAGACGATTCTGGATGCCATGTGGTTGGCGCGGAAGCTGGGGATAAAGTACCTATGGGTCGACCGGTTCTGCATCGTGCAGGACGACGACGTGGAAAGGGAGGAGTACGTCAAGAATATGGCGTACGTGTACGCGAACGCCTACATGACCATCGTGGCGGCCGCGGGCGACGCCGAGTCCGGGTTGACGGGGTTGTTGCGGAGGACGCCGCCGCCACGGGGCGCCGCGGCGAGGAAGCACGAAGATTTGGTGCTCTCGTCGCGGTGGGCGGGCCGGGCGTGGACGGTGCAGGAGGGCATGTACTCGCGGCGGAAAGTGTACGTTTTCGAGGAGACGGTGACGTGGGAGTGCCACTGCGACTTGTGGCAAGGACCGCCGGGCGCAGTGGGCGGCGGCAGGTTCAGCAAGATCCTCAAGGGCGGAGGGCTGGGGAGGCACGGCGGCGGCGGCGGCGGCGGGCCGTGTGCGTCGAGGACGTTCCCCGCGGCGACGGGATACCTGCACCCCGTGTGGCCCGACATGGACGAGTACGCGCGGGTCGCGATGGAGTTTAGCGCGCGGCGAGTGACGCTCATGTCGGATACCACGAGGGCGCTGCGGGGTATCACGACAGTGCTATCGCGGTCGTTTGCGGGCGGCTTCGTCTTCGGTATGCCGGTGAGCTTCCTGGACGTTGCGATGCTGTGGCAGCCGAGGGCGATGGTGCGGCGGCGGCTGATGGTGCAGCCCGTGACGGGGATGAACCCGCTGCCGTCGTGGAGCTGGCTCGGGTGGCATTACGACGGTGTCCCCGCGGACCTGACGCTCTGGCGGGCGGCGGCGGATTACGTCCAGGAGGCGCCGGCGCATCACGGCAAGAGGGGCGCGGAGAGGCGGTTCAAGAGTCCCTACGCGTTCCGGCTACGGTCGTTGGTGAGCTATGAGCTCACGGATCGGGCGACGTATACCCCCTTGCCGAATGACGGGATGGCGTACCGGGATCGGAGGCATCGGAGGACGGTGCCGTTGCCTGCTGGTTGGTCGAGGAGCGGCGGCGGATTTCGGTATGCGGGGGACCCGGAGGTTGTGTTTCGGTACCCGGTGCCCGTGGCGGAGATGGCTGGCGGGGGAGGAGGAGGAGCGGATGCAGCCGTCCCGGGGGTGGGGTTGTCGCCGTTTGGGGACTTTGCGCTGAGCGCTACGCTGCTTTCGTTCAGTACGACGGTGGCGTACCTAGACGTCGACTTCGCCGTGGCTCGGAACGGGGCGCCGCTCGACGCGAAAGCGGCCAACGCGGTGAACTCGGGAAACAACACGGGGCCTGGCACGGGCTTGGTCGCTCCCGGACGAGGGTACGGCGTCCCGCTGGCGGTGGGGAATATCTGGTCGAGAACGGGCAAGTGGTGCGGCGTGGTGACGGCGCACGATAGCTGGTTGGGCTTGCAGGGGGCGAACCATACCGGGGAGGAGAAGCTCGAGTTCGTGGCCGTGTCGATGGCGAGCGAGAGAGGGGGGAGTCATGTCTTTGACCTGGATGCGTTCCGGGATAACATGGACGAGGACGAGATTGTGGATTTTGTTAATGTGCTCTGGGTGGAGAGGGTTGGCGGGGTGTGTTATCGGAGGGGGCTCGGGCATGTTGTGCAGAGGGTGTGGGATGCGGTTGCGAGAGACCGTATTGAGGTTCTTCTTGGTTAGGATCTTACGGGGAAGGAGCGTGTCAAGATATGCTGGTGAGCTGAGATTGAACTCCGGGATGTATTTGAGATGAAAAGGGTGGTTGGATGACCACGAGTTCTGGTGGATGAGGGCGATTAGCGTCTGGTAATCATCCCATGTACGAGTTGCATGTTTCCTTCATAGGAAGGAACATGCTATGTTTACTCAAGCTTTATAGCGATTTGTATAATGAAAGGTCCCCCTCGATGTAAGGTAGGGCGTGTTTCGATTCTGGAGGAGACTTTCATCGCCAAACATGGACTGAATTCCTGCCCTACACTGAATGATGATCTTACAGTATAAAGCTGCTCTGAGCAGAATTGACACTGATGTTCTCTCTGACTGAATATGACCTTCAGAGATCATTTGTTGGACCACATTGACGCCGATGTCAGAGTAGTGTTTTGGGTCGATGTAAATGGCGATACACATCATCTCCTCTTTACCGCATTACGTTCACCCGAAGGTCGGGAGGCAGGATCACATTATTCCTCACCCTTCTTGTTTGTTAGCATCACTGACGGATACTCCGGGAAGGATGGCAAGAATAAAGCTGTTCACCAGAAGGGATATCGTCAGTCATGACGAACATTGAGCACAGAGGCACAGCTCGGGGCACAAGCAGACAATGACCTGAACCTGACTTACACCATCTAGAACACCACTTCAAGATGCACCAAAGCAGAAAAACGGCCGGACCGCCCAAATCGCACCACAAGACAACATCACCCCGAATCAAAATCAAACGCAAACTCAAAAGCAAAACCACTCTACGAACTCGAATCCCGCTCCCAAACCGATGCCCAAATTTTGCCGCCCCTCAAGATTGCCAAAGCTGAACAGCGACTCGCCAGACTCTTCTCGCCTGCTGACACTGACGACCAAACACAGACCAAAACTCCACTGCGAAACTCCACTAACTAAAACCCCCACAACTCCAACTCCCAAACTTAGGCCCTAGCCAAGGCCCAGAGATCATCCAACACTCCGGGGCGTTTAGCTCAGTGGTAGAGCGCCCGCTTTGCATTCCTTCAGCGTCTGCGGGAGGCCCAGGGTTCAATCCCCTGATCGTCCACAGTAGCCCGATAGACCGCGCCTGCGATCATCTCCTTTTGCTTTTTTGACAAAGTGTCAAGCAGATGTCGACTTTGATGCTATTTGCAAAGTTTCAGGTCGTTGCTTGCAAATGTTGTTGTCGTTTGTTCGTTTTGTTTACTCGACTTCTCGCATTCTCTCATGTCGGTTGGGAGTGGTGAGAGAACAGTCAGATGGGAACCCGCCAGCTTGGGCTTAACAGCCTCACTCTATCACAGAAATACATCTTGAAGGTAGGAATGATTTAGGGCTGCATTGTACTCAATCAACTCGATAAGAATCACACGGAAGTATGCAAGCAAGCACTTCGAGAAGCAGCCCGAAGGCAGCAAATTCACCAATGAACATTGGCACCGTCCCCGTTCCTAATCTTGACTAGCTATACAAATATCAATCTGACCCATGCCATGCTTTAAACTTTGGACATTGGACAACTCATCCACCCTTGCCAATCCATTATACACATTCACGCCTGCTCCCCCATTATGCCTCCTCCTAAACCCGGTCATCTCCGTCCTTTCTTCAGCGGCGGCGGGCTTCTCGACCTCGAAACCGAATCGCTATATCTCCTCCGCTTCGCGCTCATAGGGCTCCTCGAATCCCGACCTCGATCCGGCGAACCCCGCTTGAGTGACCTCTTGGGCGGGGGACTCGGTGAGCGAGAGTACGACGCATTGCGACCACCATTTCTCGCTCTCGGCGGGGCCGCTGAGGCGCTGTCACCATCCCGTGCCCTCGGGGCGACAGGTGAGCGGCTGTCTCTCGGCCCACGACGGTCTACGGGGGAGCGAGACCGCGAATCATATGATGACGCACGGCTCGGCGACCGACTGGGAGAACGACTGTCGTAGCGGGCGCGTTTCCGCGGCGCGCTGCTCACAGATGAACTATTCCGCCTGGCTGGGCGGCGAGCATCTTGCCCTGGACTGCGACCGCGGACAGGTACGCCTCGTGCAGGCGGGGGGCTAGCAGAGCGAGAAATAGAACGCCCTCTCCTTGGCGAAGGTGATCTGCTGACGCTTGAGCTGTTCCTCCGGGCTGCCCGGCGTGGTGGCGGTGTCACGCTGAGACTACGATCCCTGGGACCATTTCGGGCCGGAGAAGGAGATCTTGAGTAGCTGGCGGAGCGACCGCGTCTCCTCGGAGGACTCGCCGAATACGAGTCGTCGCGACGTCCCTTTCTGGGAGGCGAGACTGAACGAGTGTAAGAACGAGACCTGGTTGAGCTGCGACCTCGGCTGTACGAGCGGTCCCGTCCACGGGGCGAAGGAGATCTGGAACCAGCATGCTTGCGATCAATGGCGTGTCGAGGCGTCCGCGACCTTGATCGAGAGCGGGAGTATGAGGAGCCCGTGTACGAAGAGTAGCTAGACACCGACTCCGAGTCGGAATCATCAGCCGGTGGCGCAGGCAACGCCGGCTTAGGCATGTTCTGCAGGTATTCTCGAGAAGCCTCTGTGAGAGCACCCATGCCAATACTGGTAAAGTAGTTGATGGAGAAACGAATATTTCGCGGGTTGTCGCGCGGGAACAGGCCGGTGAAGCTGGGTTGGAGGATCTCGTCCTTCATCCGGGCCTGCAGTTTTGCCATGCCGAGCTCCTCAGAGATGTCCTGGAAAAGAATCTTGATGAAAATTCTGGAACTGCTCGTTGTCTCTTCCTCATTGAGGTGAATAACAGAAAGTACGTGCCAGCCAATAGCATCGGTTGCGAGCAAATGCGCAAAGAAGCGCGCAACATTGCGAAGCCTGTTGGTCTCGTATCGGTGGATCTTGCTGTAGTAGTCGGCAAAAGATTCTTCAAAGAGACCTGTCCATAACCTGTTAAGCTTGGCGAAACGCTCTCCTATCAAGCCGTGAAACTTCGAAAAGGTCTTTTCCTGAGAGCAAATCTCGACAATCATCGAGGGCAGCTCCGCTTCTTGACCAGCCGGGAGGTTTACCCGCAAAAGCTTGTGAACTGCTTCCTCAGGGTCGATGGACGACATGACCGTCAGGTAAATGGTACGGCGCAGGTTTACCAAATCGGTGTTGGACTGGTCCTTGATCTCCATTGCCTTCTCTTCTTCATCGTCCTCCTCCTCGGAGCTCTCATCTTCATCGTCATCGTCGTCATCATAGTCGCTGCCCTCGCCCAAGATCTCGGCCTTGAGCTTCTTGTAAGCCTCCTCGTGCTCCTCCCACTCTGCGTCGTATTTGAAGATGTTGAGGCCATCCTGTACGTCGATTTCACCGTCTAAGTCGACCATGTGCGTGATTTGGTCCTCCTCCTCAACCAAGTCGAGTTCCTCCTTGATGGGCGGGTTGTCCTTGAAGTTGTCCTTGCGAACCTGGAATAGCACCTCAATCATGTACTGCACACGCTTGTCGATATCTGCCTCGTGCAGAACGTTCCTCAGCTGATCCCAAACGGCGAGGGCGATTGCGGGCTGCATATCCTGCAAGTGTTGTCCAACTTCGCGCATGAAGTTAACGGCAATCTCAACGCTGTCGTCCGTCGGCTTGTGAAGGAGAAGAAGGAGCATTTGACCAGCGAGTCGCTCGTGGGCGACCTGGTGGTTGACAAGATGCGCCAAGAATGTCGTGGACGAAACACAGACAGCCTTGTCGCTGCGCTTGAAACCCTTGCGGAAGGACATGATGAGTCGCTTGACCAGGAGCTCACCGACAGCAGGCAGCTTCGTGTTGACAATAGCCACCATTGCGGCGAAGACGGGCGTAAAGGGTAGAGAAGCCGCCTGCGCCTTCATGATTGATCGACAGAACAAGCCGCGGCCCTTGATCAGGTTCTCGCCAAAGAGCTCGGGAACAATGTGCTTGATGTTGGAGTAATTGACCTTGTTGATCAGACCATTGATACTCTTCTTCAGCGCCTCCCACATCAGCCTCTGGTATTCTTTGGAGCTCTTGTCGGTGATCTGGGCTTGCAGCGCCCTCAGTCGCGCTGGTGGTATGTAGGTGCCTCCAGACCGCATGGACAGCAGCTTCTCGTACTCGGCCTTTGCGATCGCCTGCTTCTCCTCCTCCGTCTTCATCGGCGGCGTCGGGCGTCGTTGTTCTTTGGGGGCCGGACGGTAGCTATCGGTGCGATCGCGGTCTCGATGGCGGGGGCGATCGTTGTCGCGGTTGTCGCGGTGGTGTCGACGGTCACCGCCATCGCGGTCGTTTTCCATTTCGCCATCGCGTTCGCGGCGCTCGAAGCTCGGGGAGCCAACATCTGCCGATGCCATCTTGCCTCTATTCTCACGTCCCCAGAGGCCTTTGGATGATTGAGAATCAAGCCGAGGAGCCTTGCGACGTAAAGAAATGGCGACAGCCGAATCGGAGATGCGCTGGTTGCTGGAAGTCTATTTTTTGGCTGGGCTGGAAAAAGTTACTGCTGCTTTGACACAACAGGATCGCCAGGCAAGAGTTACCTAAAAATCCAAGTGTGGCTGGGGAGTGAAGAGGATCCACTATCTGATAAAGAGCGCACAGATCATGCGGCTGGAGCTTCCTAAGCGTAGGGGAAATGTATCTGGCAGGTCCACCGTACACCTCAAGTCATTCAGTCAACCGTGGCAGCTCCCATTTAGCGCAGCCATAGAGGTCCAATGCAGGCGCGCCCTCGTCCCCTGAAATCGCGACGACAATTTTCCCGATCGGAGGATCCAATACAGTACCTTAGCTACCACCTAACTGGCCTTACCTCATCTCGACCTCCTTCCCACAATCCCCCACGACCCTTCTTTTACATCGGCCTTTCCATTCACACAGTCACAGGTCACTACTTGCGCGCGCCCACCCCGTCGATTCCTTCTTCACACTCTTTATTTACCCTTTCAATAAAATCGACAATGGTACGTTGACATTGCTCCCCCCAGAGCTGGCAAGGACCCACCCGTGCTCAATAGCCAGCATCCCATCCCACCCTCGAGCGCAACAAGGGAGGGCAGGAGGGCAGGCAGGCAAGACTGAACATCGTCAACAGCTAGCTAACTTACTACAGAGCGGAACTCTCGTCGGCTTCGCCATGCTCGTGGCTGCCTCTGTCATCTTCACATACTACTCCATCTGGACCCTGCTCATGGTAAGTGGCATCGCCCACCCACTCCTCCCTCATTACCTATTGTTCTGCGAACAAGGCCAACAAGGTTGACTAACAACTCCTGCCACAGCCCTTTGTCGACGAGGGCCACCCTCTCCAGAGCTTCTTCCCTGCGCGCGTTTGGGCCATCCGCATTCCCGTCATTCTCATCCTCCTCGGTTCCGCCGTCGTCGGTTCCTTCCTAGGCACCGTCATGATCCGCAGCAACAGAAAGAAGGCCGCCAAGGCCAAGGCTGCCGCAAAGAAGAAGGCGTAAAGGACTCGGAAGTGGGAAATTGTAAAACAATTGTTGCGCATGTCGATGCTTAGGAGGCCAAGGTTTTTATTGTTGGATGTCTATGATGATACGGGCATGGAACATGAGGGCCAAAGGGGAAATGGGTCCACAGTTGCGAAAGCACAATGATGGGTATCTAAGCTGGATTTATTGGAGAATGAGCGCGCTGCTCACTTCAAGAGCAACGCTACCTACTCTGATACTGCTCGAGGAGGTACTGCCCTAGGCCAGAGAGAACCCTCAAAAAATCACCAATAAAGGAGTGAGTGGCACGACCGGCCAAGTACATATCCTGCCCCATGATCCCAGGCCTCGGCCCGCGCATGTCTCTTTGGACCGATGCCTGACATCTGTAGACAAAAGTCATGGCAAGAATGACTCCTGGTCTAATCTAGCTCCAAACGCCTCGTGGTTCCTTTCTCAAACTCTCTGATCTGCAAAGTCAAGCACTTCACAGTCATCCTCGAAAAAGCCATCCTCATCCTCCGTGTGCCTCGCCCCACGTCGTCGTCGGGTTGTAACAACAATCTCATCGCCGTTCTCTCCGCGGTGCATAACTCTCTCCATCGAAGAAAGCGGGAGCGCGCGGTGATCATCCGAAATGTTAAATTCGTCTTCTGAAACTGAGAGGTGTCCAGTATCGAGCTTCACCAGGTTGAGTGGCTGACCAAATGCCCAAGGTTGCGAGTAGTTTGTCTCTAGAGCTGTTTCTTGAACTCGCGCACGCTGCTGTTTCTTCTTTTGCTTGGGCGTTGCGTGATCTTCCAGTGTGGTATCGGCCATCAGCGCAGCGAGCGATGGTGCCAAGGCCGTTGGTGGGCTTGCGTACTCATACAAAGCCACTCGCCTGTCGGTATGGAAAGGCTGGTATGGTGCGCTGGATTCGATCTCGGCTTGTGGAATGGATGCTTCTGCACTCAGGTCGACCTGAACCGGTCTGGCTCGCGGGTCGAGCGTCAATGTCTTGCCCACGTCCATTTCTCGGTCTGACAGATCCAGATACTCGTCCGAGTCGATGAATTGCCGAACGGCTGGCGAGAAACCATCGTCGGGTAGTGCAGGGACTTTGAAGTCCTTGTATCGGACTCCTCGAGGTGTGCGCTGCTTGCTGGCAGCCCCTGACGGGCGACGAGTCTTGGATGGGAATGTTCGCACAAGGCCGTCGCCGACCACGTACAGAGTGTGATACCTTCTACCAGTGATCCATACGACGCATGATGAAGCTGGCAGAAGCGAGCTTTGTGGCAAAGAAACGCGGTTATCTCCCGTGTGGCGCAGCTGGTTTATGGCGACGCCGGTTTTGCCCAGGGAATGACTGATGCTCGCAGCGATAGCTCTTCCTCCAACACTGGCTGAATCGACGAAGTTGCCACCGGCTAAGCCTTGAGCGTTCACGCTGCTCCTACGCGGCCGAGTGATCAAAGGTCTGGCGGCGTGATAGGCAGCTCCGAAGGCACTGGATGCAATCGAGACAGCCGAGTTAGGTGCATCTGACGCAGGAGCGCCATTTTCTTCCGTGGCCTTGCGCCGACGAGGCGGCGGCCAGGTGAAGGCACTGAAAGGCATTTCTAGAAGATGAACGGTTCCCCTTTCCGTGACCATTGCAATCCGCTCACCGTTGGGTTTCGACCAAGCCACATCGACGATCCGAGCGACGGTCATCCGTGAGAATTGCGCGACCTGCCGCACTCGTGGACCGACTGCGTTGTTGGCCGCGATCACCTGAAGAGGCGATGACTTGGTGTACTGAATGCACATTAGATCCCATACAGTCTGCACATCCCCCTTGCCGCTTGCCGTGAACAGAGATAGCCCAGTCGGTGAAAAGGACAGGAAGCTGCAGCCGAGTGGAGATGCAAAGGTGATGAGCGGGTGCAAGGTGGCAGAAGTTGGCAAGCTGTCCATGTCGAGGATAGAGACCAGACCGGGGTCTTTGGTCACTGCTTGACCAGGTGTACCGTGAGTCGGCGGGAATTGGTTTGCGTCGTGCCGAGGAGGGTACGATCCTGCCCATTGCTGCGCTGTCACAGGAGGGGAGCGAGACTGCATCGGAGGCGCCTGGTTCGCATTCTTGTTCCAGTACGAGTTCCAGGCCGACAGTCCTTGCTGGCCAACCCACTTTGCTCCAGAGATCAACTCTTGCGTTGTTTCACGCATAATCTTGTTGACCATGCTCTCGGCCATGGGAGAATCAACAGACCCCGTGACCGCGGGCAGCACAGGAGACGTCACCGAAGAGATGCCCGGGGCTTTGCCGAGAATAACCACCGGTACATGAGCGCGCAGAGCAATTTGCGAAGATGCTGCTGGAGGACAGTAGGCAATCCACTTGCCGTTGAGCGATAGGATTGGGGTCTGCGGGTTAGGACGAGGAGGCGCAGGTGAGTGGCGGCGTTCAGCATCCTCGGCAACCTCTCCTCGAGGGGGCTGTTGAAGGCTGGTCCAGAGTTTACCAACACAGCCGAAGCGAACTGTGCCGTCATTGGAATCCAGGATAGAACGGTAAACCCAACATTCTCCACTGACTCCAGAGGCGATTGCAATGTTTCCAGCATCAGCTTTGATCGTGAATGCGCCCGTCGGCGGCGGCGCCTTGAAGATCGGGCTCGTTACGGGTGTTGACAGCGGGACTTTTGGAGCTTGTAGAAGCACGTCGACGAGTTTGCCCGTCTTGAGAGAGTATAGTTCGACTGAAGTCTGGTAAAACTCGATGGCCGGCGTAAATCGGCCGGAAGGGCCTCCCTTCTGACTGCCATCAGCTCGAGGGCTACCAGGCACATCGGCTCTATCTTCGGGAATGTTGTCGTTTGCCGCTTGAATCGCGATCTCTGGCGATGTTTGTGGTAGCACAGGCCCGTGAATGACGACTGCCACGAGAGGAGAATCATCGGCCTTGTCTCCAGGAGTTGACCAAGGAAGGATCTGGGCATCGTATACGCCTCCTCGCAACCCTTTGAGGCCGGCAACCCGATCTAGGCCGCGCTTGCTGACTGAATAAACCTCGAGACCACCCTCGTAGCCCGCCAACGCAACATTGTCCGATCCTAAAGCGAACTCGTTATGTGCAGCAGGAAGTGTATCGAAGCCGAAGTAATAGCCCTTATCGCCGGCTTTCATGCCGGCCTTGGAAGCCATGTCAAAGTCGATGTCAGGAGCACTATAAAAATGCGGCTGGGCTTGATGAGGGAGCGGGGGTTGGGAGCCTACTCGGGCGTGGGACATTTGCGACTGCATAGAGCTGCGACGGTATGCTGCAGCTGCAGCCGGCTGATGGTAGGCTTCAAGGGGAAACTGCGCATCCATCTGGAAGCTGAGAGGCCGCTTCATATGGTTTGGCATGCTGTTGGGAGGAGATGGCGAAGCAGTCTGGGGCGTCAGGGACTGGTGCTGGACGGCCCATCCGTGGCGGAGGCGACCAGAGTCTTCGTAGGAGGAAGGTTGAGTGGGCGGCGACTCGCCCATGAGACTGATCAAGTTGCCTGGAGAGCCAGCGAGCCCTCCTCTTGCCCAGTCGTGGTTTGTACTTGCAGCCGATGCGGATGTGGTGGAAAGTGCATCCAAAGAGGGCGAGACGGTGGGGTGCCCATCGTATGGGGACGGGTCTTGAGTTATGGGTCTAATATCGGGAGAATGAACGGGAGGCGACGATGCATCGGACGGAGGGCTCTTGGAAGGGCTGCCATTTCTTTGAGGTTGTTAGCCATCGTGATCGCGACAAAGGTAAACGGGCCATAGAGGTTGCGGCAGTGACTCAACGCCGACTATCGCGGGGTTCTAAGATGACGGGCAGGGGTAGAGGGGAACCTACGCGAACTTGCCCGCGGCGAGTTTCGTCACCGCGGCGCTAACTGCACCATCTTTCGCGT